GAATGCCGTAATGTAAAGGTGAATCTCCCAGAGATTTTTCAGAAGGGGTGGGGAAAAAAAACCCCTAATAGCCTCTTTGTGGTTATACTGGTATCCGGGTAGATTCATGAGCTAAAATGTCATGTATTTAAAAAGGAAAAGGGATTCAGCCCGAAGAACCACTTGAGTACCCATAAGACCTGAAAAGCATGAGCCAGCTCTGGTTTTATTTCCCTACTGTCAGATATAATCAGCTCGATGTCCCTATGGGTTTTCCCCCTGGGTTAGGTGATGTTTATGTGTTTATACAAACCACTATGCAACATACTGTTATACCACACTTAAACCTCTGTATATAGTAAATATTTACTTGAACAGCTACAAAACCAGTGATTCATGAAGATTTTGCTGTCTTAATATTGGTAAGAGATATTCCTGTACCCTGTGGCTTTTCTTGGTCTGAGATTTGGTTATCTAAAAGCCCAAAATGTTGGATCTTCAAAAGAAATTGGCTCCTCTCCCATGTTCCCAGGTCAGAGCTGAAGTCAGGAGCTGCTGTTGGGTTAGAAGATGAGGGCAAGAAAAGAACAGCTGAAACAGAGTCATTAGCACCTGTGTAATGTGTATGGGCACACTGTATGTGTTTGGTGGCATCCAACCAGCCTCTGTTCCCAGGCTGATGAGCTTTCAGGACAAGTAAGTGTGTGGACTTAAAGATCATATCTCCTTCAAGAGCTTCTGGACCTGATGAAACCAGCAGTGCTTAGAATGATTTTCTTATATATGGCATATTATCACAGAACAGCTGGAAGTTCTTTAAAATGTATATTAAAAGTGGATAAACCCAAGAAGTCATGTTCATAGCAAAAATGGAAGGCTTCCTTTCTTGGTGCTGAAGGGTGGTGAATGACCCCATGTTCCTGAACAGAAAATGGGCTGAGGAGAGCTGACAAGCAAAAGAGTCAGAAGGAGAAAATACAAGGTGGAAGTGTCATTTGAGGAGGAAAAAAAAATCACTTGTCAGACAGAGAGAAAAGTCCTACACAGATGGTCTTAATAATTCTTTTAATGTACAATTGAAATAAAATCCTGCAGTGTTGTACCTTATCAGGGCTTGGCTAGAGATTTGAGCTGCAGGCTCAGGAGGTCTGGAAAATGTCCTAGGATTCTTGAGGTCAATCATTTATGAATTAAGTTACTGATTTCCTCTTACATTTTTTAAGCCAATTTCCTAAGATTTCTACGTACGTTAAGATTCCTCCCAGAGTGAAAGCTCTGCACATAGACAGCTTCATTAAGTCATTAAATATTAAATGAACTAAATTAAGCTTGAAAAATTACCTCAGGCTATTTTTCCATCTTAGTCTCTCAGATAAATCAAAATTACTACGTATTGTGCAAGAGACTCATCAGCAGGCTGAAGAGGATGTAACAGTTTTCCTTGTTTCGTACTTTTGTGCTTGCTCTAGAGGATGGAGGGGTTGAGTAGTTTTTTTTCTTGTACAAGTGAGGAAATGGCTGGCTTTTAGGAGACTCTAGCTTTCAAATACAATTTCATTTCATAAGTTATATTGTACTTTCCACTGACTCTGTATCATATGTAAAGTATTTTAATCTCTTGAGTCCCAGTAGGAAGAGCTTTAAGATCCTTCATCTTCATTTCTTTTCCTGTCTCTCTTTTTAAATGTCCCAGCTTTGCTGGTGTGAAGCTGTCATTTCTCTTCCTCTCTCCAAATGTCATTGTCCATGCTGAGTTGTTACCTGCTGGTTATCAGCAGCTACCCAGACACTTTGCAGAAATGACTTTTAGATGTTAAAATAAAACGGAAGAGGCAGGGGAGAGCACATGTCCTCTTCTTCGCCCAGAGCAGATGGAGAGCTCTGTGTTCCCCCTAGTCTGGGGAAGTGATGTTCCCACGCAGTCCCTGTTCTGCGTGGCTTGTGCAAGGAGAGCTGTTTCAGTTTGTTTTACTTTTTTCGTGCAATCTGTGTGGCTAAACATTTGCTGTTGGTGCGACTCGAGTGCCAGACACCTCCCTGGGGGAAGCAAACCAGCACCACCCATCTTGCAGATGACAACTCGGACAAAATGGTACGAGTGGGTGTTTCCCAGACAATGTGGGAAACCTGCCAGTGCTGAACCCAGATTTTCAGGCTGTGTTAGTAAGTTAAATAGTGCCCAGTAGGATTTACCAACCCATTCTAAAGTGCTGGGGAGAGGTTAAAGCCACTCAGGAAGATGATCCATGGGTGGCATGTTGGTGGCCATTCTGTTTTGAGGGTTACTAACCCATGATGTGGCTGCAAGCCAATCTGGGCCAGTTGGTGTCAGTGCCCAGGAAAGTCTGTGTGTGTTGAGGTTGCAAGTATAGATGTGGCTATGGAGCCTCATTGTGCTACTGTGACTGCAAGGGCATCCAATCTGCTCGTGTCCTAAAGAATCCTTCCTTACCTCCCATCTACTGCGTTTTCCTAATTTGTCATCTTGTGCTCGACTATATTTTTTTTAATAGAGTTTATCACTTACTGATAGGAACAGAACAACTGATTTTAACACAAAACTTGCCATAGAATTAAATTTCTTAGTCTCTTTTTTTTTTTTTTTTTAATACAAGCAACTACTGGGTTGGTTGGTTTGTTAATGGATGGCCAGACACATACATTCTGCAAGACTCCCAGCATATCATGTTGTATCCTGGTTTCCACTGCAGCCAACTAAATTCTCATAGCTATTCTTCAAAAATGTTGGGTGGGGGTGTCGGTACAAAAGGATACCTGTAAATGTTTAAACCCAGTCAACTGAAGTTTAGAGGTTAATGCCTTCAAACACTGTGAAAACCTTCTCATTCAATAGCAGATTGGCTTTAGTTTGCTGTAGCTTATTCCTCTAAACCAAAGGCATTTTATCCCTGAATGAGAGTATTCCCATGGGCGTTCAGTGTGCTTCAACTTCTCTGCACTAGCTTCACCTTTTCAGCTGATTTGTCTTAACTCGCTCCTGAGCGTCCCTGTGAAGACAAGACACCAAGGGTGTGACGGCTAGGCTGTTTATTGGAACTCTGGTTCTGTTTAAGAGAAAAGGCAGTGACTTTCCTTCCCATCATTTTGGAGCAATTTCTGAAGCTGGTAACTTCAGCAATGCCTCCAGCAGAATTAATGTGTCATCTTCTTAAAATGCTGCTTCATTCAAATAGTTATTTAGTTTATACAGAAGATTAAATATACTAAAACACTGTTTAAATAATTTAGCTAAATCTCCCTTTGTGCAAGAAACAGCAAGAGATCCCTAAAAATTTCCTTTGTTTTATTATTGGACACTGATTTTTCTGAATCCTGTGCTCTCACTCTTATCCCTACCATGCTGCTTGCAAGCAGGCTGCTTGTGTTTTAAAAGAAAACTGCAGAATAGCATTTCATCTGTAGTCCAGGCAGAAAAGGCAGTTTTAGTTCTCAGCGTTTAAATAAATAGCAAAGCTTGGAAGAACTCTTTCGTTTAAAAATGCTGCCATCCAGTGGTTACTCTGTAAAAATGCGACTTTTTGTTCTATACATATGTGGTCCTTATATACCTTTTTTCTTTTTAATTTTCCCCCGGTGTCTTATGCAAATTGCGGTTAGAAAAAATGCAACAATTCTCACAAAGAAATTACAGAATGCTTTTCAACTTTAAGTTGCAAAAATCCTTAAAAAGCAATGTGTTGCATAGGATATCTTACCTTTGGATTCCCAAAGAGTAAGATCCTCATAATTTAAACATCAGGGAGACCTTAAGTACAAGTTTGTAGTGGAACTCAATTGTTCATAAATGACTGGAGTCATTTTGTCTCTGCGTAGAGCTTGTCATGCTATACAACAGTTTGAAATAATGCCTTTATTTTGAATACTTATTTCAAGTGATTCCACTTTATTGCAGGAGATAAAAAAACCCCAGACTTAGGCATGTAAACCATATCCAAGCCTCCTTGGAGACAAGCCCACAAACAATTAATGATTTCTACATTTATCTGTGGTATAGAAAACTTTTTTCTAGTAATAACTCAAAACAGAATGGACTTGATAACATGCCTGTATGAAGAACAAGTAAAGCTCAAATACATTCCTTTCAAAATAAATTTATAATGATGATTATCTTAATAAGTAGCATAACAATTTCCTCTTTCCTGCAGGGATGCTTTGTTGGATTTGACCTGGCTCATGCTGTTGGGAATATAGAACTTCATTTGCATGACTGGGGAGTAGATTTTGCCTGCTGGTGCTCTTACAAGGTAACACAGATTCATTGTTGGAGACTATTTTCCATAATGTCACTTATATGATGGGTCAGAAAGCAGGCCAGATGAGTAAGAACTGCACCTGAAGTGTTGATCAAGACTTTGCTGAATCTTTGAACCAGTCAGTGTGAGGAGATGGACACTGACTTTAGTGTTGGTTTTGGTCTGAGAGGTTCCAAAAAAGTAATAGTGGCAATGACCTGCAAGGTCTTGCGGATGCAGGATGAATGCTAGTGGTGGTTAAACATCAGCTCTGAAGTACACTTTGCCCTGCAGTCACACTAGCAGAGACTCTTTTCTTATTTCTCACACCAAGAAGGTCTTGTGACTATAGGATTTCCTCAAGTGGTCCCTAAATAACTTTAGGTCTTGCCTAAACTCAAATAATTTCAGATCGTAGAAAAGGTATCTTTAGCTACTTTGACTTCTCTTGAGATTTAAGACTGTCAGATGAATTGTTTGACTTTTCTGTATGTATTAAGTACAGCTGAAGCATGTCATAAGTTTTCTAGACTTTGTCTGTTAGACTTCAAATATCATGTATAAGACCAGAAAGATATTTTTAGAACTCATCTGAAAAAATATATTGGCTTTTACCTACATCAGCACTTTGAGACAGATGTTAAGAACTCCAGTTAGAAACCACTAGAAATGTTAAAATTGGCCTGTTTAGTAGAGTGTGGGAAGGAAAGCTATATTTTACAGATAACAAGCACAACATGTGTCCGTGTTGATTTATTCTTTGCAGTATCTAAATTCTGGAGCAGGAGGTCTTGCTGGTGCCTACATTCATGAGAAGCATTCCCAGAGTATTAAACCAGCGTAAGTATGTTTCTATACCTAAATTAAAGATGCTGTGAAGTTTAAATGGAAAAGTTTCTTCCCTTTGGGTTGAGATCTGAAAGTGAGAAAGCATAGAGATTCCTAGTCACAGACTGTGGGCGTGTGTGTCTATGTGTATATGTATAAATGCAAAAAGAAATTCCCTGCTTCAAAAAATTCTCATTGGGTTAATATTTGTTACTGACTTATTGCATCAATGAAAAACATAGTACAAGATTAAATAATTTGGTTACCTGGTTTTGTTACATCTGATGAGTTGTTTTATGTTAATTTCAGTAAATTTTAAAATTGTTAATGTACATGCTCACATTTTAAATATCTTTCCTCCTCAAAGTCTGCTATCTGCTCTAAACTAAATATAATCATAAAAGAAAGTGCATGTAATATTAAAAACAAGTAACCTAAATCATGCCTGTGAGACTCTTTAATGTAAAGAGAATATTTAACATCTTCCTTTAAAGATGGATTTTTTAAAAAATCATTGAAGTCTTTGGTTGATGAACAAAATCAAAGACAATTTCCACTCTGTGCCTAATAGCTCTTTAATACTGGCATGTTTTCATTAAAATTATATCCACTGGTAAAGCTAGGAAGCATTACATGGAGATCTGTGTTCTCAAAGATTGTATAATCCATGAAAAGCTGTGCTATCAACTGAGGTTAGCTGCATTAAAAAAAATACCTGTTCTTTAAAATGTGATATGACCGTATGCTATGTATATTAAGAAGGATAGGATTAATACTTTTAATGCACTGACAAATGTAAACATTTCTTTCTGGCTGTAATGTTTGGAGAAATTGCTGGCACTTACTTTTATTTTAGATTGCAGAAGGCAAACTAAATCAGGTTTCAGAGAGAAATAATATTATAATATGCAGCTTTGCTGCACTATGTGCTGGTTTCAGACTGTCTAGACTCCCAGAAGATAACAAAATAACACTGATAAGTTCTTCTCAGCCACCCGTAACAGAAAACTCATTAGGATGACATATGACCTGTTGTGAGCTGTTTCGATCCTCACATGTGAACACTGGCAAAATATTCCAAATATCTGGATATTAGTCCTGGAAGGTTTGGTGTTTTTTTTCTTTCCCTGTGAGCCAGCTGCAGGCATCGCTCTGACGGCCAAACCTCTGGGCCCTGGCTGTGGGGAGCTGGGAAGATGCTGAGCAGTGAAAAAATGTGACCCAGCTAGGAATCATACAATAGCAATAGTAGGACTGAATAAAATCTCAAGGACTTTGAGACTTCTACCCTTCTTGATGAAAATTTGAAACTTCTGTGAGGGTAGTAGCTTGTATTGAGGCAAGAGCTTAAATTAATTTTCCTGAACCAGCTTCTTCATACATAGTCATTAACTTGTGTACTGAATCTGGATGTTGAATGTCTTAAATACAATTGCCTATATGAAATAGGCTTTTTCAGCCTGAGGCCCAATTAAGGGTGTCATTCCCAACTTCCTGTATAGACCCTTTGCATTATTTAATCATAGTTATTTCATATTTCCTGAGATTTGATAATCACTCATCAAATTGTTTGTAGTTAATATGTTCTGGTTGCATTACTTTTTCTTTCTTGTCCGTATCAACCAGCCATTTCAGGTCTACAAATAAGGCAGTGAGACAAAGGAGAATTTGTCTATGTCAAAGTATTCAATTTTATAGCTGATTTAAATGCAGAGCAATTTGCTGTATGTTGTACAATCAAACAGAGTGGAATTTAACTGCTCTGGAAGTTGCAGTTTTTATGCTGTATCTAAAACAGCTTTGCCTGTCACTTGAATCAAGGATGACACCCAGTGGTCAGACAACATCATTCAAAAACAGAAGCACCAAACACTGTTTTTGAGCATCTCAGCCCACACATAAGTGGGTAATTAAATTCCAATCCGGCTGATATCCTTTTGTAACTGAAACGGTCTGAAATATTGTTTTTAACTCATGGTCAATATTATGCAAGTCACTTTTCCCTTGTATATAGATTTCTTTAATTTGTCTCATCCTTCATATTTTCTGCAAGCTATTGAGTAGGTAGTTTTATATCAAAAGAATGCATTGTATTTTAACATAAAGATGTATGTCCTGCCCATAATTCAGAGAGGTAGACCGAGGCTGGGGCAAAAAGGACTTAAGTACTTCCTGAAAATTAAACAGCTCAATCCAAAACTTTAAAATTAAACCCTGAAGCCTGGCTACTGCCCATCACCAAAGGCATTTAGGTATTTTATTTTAACTTCTACATCTGTGAATATGCTTTTTAGCTATGCCCAGAGTCTTGCTAATACCAGCAGCTCCATCCAGGGCTTTCTCCCAAGACAACAAAGTACTTGTTTACTGCGGCTTGCTTTTAAAAATACAACTTGTGAAGGAGTTATTTATTTAATAGCCTTACTACCAGCAGCTAGGTCCATGCTGAAACTGCCTTCTGCTTTGAGTCTGCAGACCGAGCTTGTGGCAGCCTAACTGCAAACCTAAGCAACCCAAACGCGATGTTATTCAGGAACACCATGTCGCATCCCAGCAGACAAAAGGCAACACCAGTCCCACTTTTCCTTATGGCTGTACAAGCTTCCCACAGGAGTTTTAGAAGTTGGTAATTCACCAACTTGAAAAAGGATTTAGGTCCAAGAGCAAAGATTGGTTCTTAAGTCTGATGGTTGGAAGAGGGAGACTACGGACAATACAGGCACCTATGTCTCCTTCTTCTGTGTCACTGCAAAGGCCATCCCACACTCCTTGGCTTAGCTAGGGATAGTTCTCTATTTCACTGCAAGGGTCATGGGTCTAAAAGTTACATGTTGTAACTGTTCTAATTAATATCTGCACCCAAGTATGTTGGGTAGTCCTTTGTTAGTCCTCTGTCTTTCTTCCTAGAGCAGTAAAACTGAATCCATCTGACATATATGGGTCCAATATATTCCTATTCTCTCATGATCTCACCTCCTTTGAAGTCCCTTTTAATACTCAAATAGCTTTTTTATACCTGCTCTATATATCACAATGCAATATATTCTTGGCTAATTGTGCTGGAGTGATTTGTCTATGGGAAGGTTTCAAATAAAAAAGACCTGGACAGAGCAGAGCTATTAAATGCTACTGAAACTGTTTGGTCAGTGCAGGCTGATCCTGTGCCCCCAGGTTTCTACATAAATGCAGTTATGTTGTGCAAGGGAGGTCTCTAAGGCCCAGAGGGCATTAAGGTGACTTACTAATCCTGAGATTTTGCTTGATTAGCTTTTTTTGGGTCCAGAAAATTTTGATGGTGTTGTGTTT